AGAGAGAGAGAGAGAGAGAGAGAGAGAGGATTCTTGTTTTAGTATGTGATTTCCTGGGTACAATACTGATTAGCAGCATGGTCAAGCAAAATCAAACAAACCCCAAAAAAGCCAATCAAAACCCCCAAAATCAAAACCCCCAAAACAAACAAACACCACCACCCCCCCTCCCCCAAACCAAACCAACTTCCTGGTTTTTATCCAAACATTGGCACTAGCCGTACAATAGCATTAAGGTATGAGATTAAGCAGCTCTGTGCTACCTTTTTTGTTTGGTTGTTTGGTTTTTTTTCTTAAACAGAAAAAGAGAACACTGAAAGTGTTACCTTGGAGGCCTGCATACTTCAGTGACGACCAGTTTGGTATATTGTAACAACCTCCACCATCTTCTTGTTCTTCTGCCTCACACCTATACAGTACTTGATTTAGGTCTGCCAAAGTTAGTTTAGATGCAATACTGAAAAGACAGCGGAGAAAAAAAAATCCGAACCCAAAACCAACATTAGCAGGGAAAGAAAGAAAGGATTTCACAAACAATTCTAGTTTCAGACTTACATTAAAATAATTAAATATATATAATTTTCTCACCATTTAATCTTGGAAATTAAGAGCCTGAATTTTTCAGATGTTTTGCTGTTTATTTACAAACACAGTATTAAGTACAAACCCCAAACGATCATGCTCCAACACTGACAAGCACTTCATGTAAGTCTACTTTAAGCAGCAATTACACCGAACTTGAGCAAAGGAGCCTGGGAAGTTTTTAAGTATTAACTTTGCTTAGTATTATAAATATAAAAAAGGTATCTCAGAGTTTTTATTGCACTGTGACTATCCAAATCCACTCGTGAGAACAAAAAATCCTCACTTAAAATTTACAGACTGCTCTTTGCTCCCACAGTAGCTCTGTTCTACTTCAGAAACTTAAAGAATACTCACGAAGAAAATAATGTTTTTAATATAGGTGCTGAATGATCATCAGGAAGACTTCCAGATTTAAAATGAGGGCTGAACTGGATCAAATGATTGCGGAGTACGCCAACAGCCTCTTGTGCCTTTGGGTCAAGACTAACTCTGTAAATATGAATGTACAACTTGTAGAAACGTAGCACTTAAAATAACTATTCCCAAGTTTCAAAACAAAGAATCCTATCATTCTACGTTAACTAACACAGCCATCTGACAATTATAATAACGTACCTGAATACTATTACACTTCCTGGTGTTAATTTTTCAAATTCTATTTCTTGAACAAATTCATTTGGCCCTTTTATAGCAGTTCCAGCTTGCTTTATAATTTTACTGTCTTTAATCTTAGAAAAGAAAACACATTTGCAACTGAAATTCAATGTCTTTTTTATAACATATCACAAAATACAAAAATATTACATCATAACATGGGTGAAGAAGACTAATTACCTGGATATGCTCTCTCAGTTCCATTGTGAAATTAGGCAATCCATTTATAAAACGTTCATCTTTTCTGTAAGGACTAGCACTTCTCTCAATAGTCCTAGCCTCAAGTACTACTTCTTCTATTTTTCCTATGAGAAGTTAAATCACGTTGTTGCTGTTAAGAAACTTTACAGTGATTCTTTCAAAAACATTCAGCAAAACCTAAAACTAAAAACCTAATATTCGAAATACAAGTCTCAGTTATATAGCTGATGAACAACCAAACATGACAAAACATATGGAGGTGTGTTCTAAATATCCTATAGACATTCATTACATGTTCATTGGCTGTACATAGATAAAACTGCAATTTTTAAATTTTATAATAATAAATTAACCATTAAAAAAATGAAAGAAATCAGTCAACAATTCATGAATTACCACCTGTTTTTAACTGATCACCAGCTCTGTTAGTTATCTTACTGTCTTTCATGAGACTGGATTAGATCGGTTTCTGAACTGCAGCTACAGATGGTTTATCTTAAAAGTGTAACATTATATACTAATATTCAAATATTCTCATTTTCTCTAACCTGTCAGTAATCTACAAACTAAGGTACACAAGTCTTGCAGCCACTTGTAAGTATCTTAACATATAATGTGTATGACTTCAAAACAGGCACAAACATGCACTCAAAGAACTGAGTAGAATTAAAAAGGCAGTTTGGAAAGCTTCTCTTCAGAAAAATGGCCAGGTAATGTGCAGAAGTTGTTATACTTGGCTACTATTAGGTATAGTAAATACTTTGCATATTTAATTAATATTATGTATGTATTACCTATACATTATCTTTATATTAACTTATGCATTACACTGTTGTTTCTTAAGATGTATTTTAAGACCACAAAAGTAGTCACATACAGGAAATCAGAATAGCAATGACATCAACAGACAGGATATGATTTCAGCCTTTTTCCCCAGTATAACACTTAGTAAACAGTAATCGCCTCCCAAGCCTTTACAATTAACCATCTTGCTGTTAACTACTTCTTAGCAGTTCACAAAGGAGACAGTAAATGAAACCCCATCCTCATGGGGAGCTTATAGCAGGAAGTATACTGAATATGAATGCTTTTAAAAACCCTAAGCAAGGTACGTTTGTTGTTTCTTCAATCACTTCTGTTATATGGATGTTGGTACATGTCAAAGGAGCATTACATAATGAAAATTCTCATACTTGTTTCATGTGTTTGAAGTTTCAAAGTATGGAATTAGAAGAAGCTTAATTTTTTTATAACACCTGTCATCTCTTGAAAAGAAATCTGATTACCTGGGATACACATTTCAGGTACTTCTTTACTGTAGAAGGAAGTTTTAGGATCCCTGAAAGCCGTTCGACTTACAGCCACAACAGACTGGTGTGTGTTAGGACAATGTCTTGTCACTGCCACTATATCTTCATCAACTTGATCTACATACACCTAGAAAAGACATACCATTGCAGATGTGTTCACTTAGAACATAAATATGCAGAAATTGCAATGTTACCCTCACTTCTTGCCTGATTAAAGCCTTTAGCCCCCAGCTCCTGATGCAGCCTGTTTATGGCCAGCCTTCCTGCTAGAATTCCTGTTTGGAAATTAACTTCACCAGAAGTCAGGTGTGCTCCTGGATTCCATTTTGCATAAAACCTCTCTTCAGATACCACAGAGATCTGTAAAGAAATAAAGATTTAAGCAAATAACTACTCTGGAAAAAAAACCCAACAAGCAAACAGCTGGAGGTCTCAACTATGTAATTCAAATTTCAGATTAAATTGAGGCAAACTGAAGTAATGCCAGCTAGTAAGCCTGCTTGGGATTTCAAATAAACAGTGTTAAAATATGTCCTAGGACAAGAATAAAGTTTACGTTTTCAGAAGTAACTTAGGAGTTAAAGTGTAGACATATACCTGGTGTGGTACTAGTTCATCATAGCCTTTAGTGCTTCCTGTAGCACAGCATGCCATGGAAACAATCATTGCACTAGGAAGAGCATCGTATGCAGATCGGTGCTATGTCAGAAAAAGAAATAAGTCATAAATAGTGAAACAAAGACATAATTCATCCCTCTCATTTCAGCATACAGAAGATATACTCGGTTTAACAGAGGAACTGCTAATCACACAATCATAATTTTCTCAATCACAATAGAATTATTGAAAGAAATTACTTACAAATGCATTAACAAAAGCAACTTAAGAGAAACCCTCAAAAATAAGCATTCCAATTCCCACCATTCTTTCTCATTTTCTCCTGTAAACCAGAGCCTAGGAGAACTGGTTAACACTTATAGTAGCTGGAATGAAAGAATCAAAGCTGCTCATTAAGTAGTTTTATATACTTTTTGCCTTCAAAGACAAAATTTTGAACATCAGAGAGAGCTGTTCTAAGATTTTATTCTCTGCATAAAAACTTGAAGACCTGAAAATAATTTTCCCTAAACATGGCTCAGGAAAAACATCCAGATCACACCAAGCCCTCCCACGGTTCAGAAATATAAATTCAGAAAACATTAAATGTAACCTTTGGGGTTTGGTTTAGGTACTCACCTGAATTGGACATTCATTATCATGTGTAATGTCCATAAAGAGTGCATGAGCAATAGCTGGCATCAAAGGCCTCAGACGTGGCTGAACAAAAGAGCCAACAGGTTCACCTCCAAAACGATAAACTAACCTTCCCTCTTCATGGCTATTATAAGCAGTCATTGCCTCTAAAGAGTAAAATAAGTAAGTGTTCGCATAAAAATAACTACCACAGAGTACAGCATGCACAAAGATGCTAACAAAGTGTTTTACAGCTGCTATTTTGGTGTGTTCAATCATTTCTTTAATGTGGATATACAACCTTGGAGTGTTCTATTTACTATAATACATTAAGGTAGAGAAAGAGAAGGAAATAACAGAAGAAAAAACCCCAGAGATCTGAAACTGTTTTTCATAGGCTTGAAGAAACTCATGCAACAAAAATCAGACATGACGCAGAACTTGCATAGCAGAACTGTGCTACAACTTCTTTTTCCCTTGCAAGAATGAGTGATATATTTGACCTTCTCTACACTAATGCAGGACGTCTTCTCTTACGTTACATCTAGTACTGTATTTTTATGCCGAGTATCAAGAGAGTCCCAATACAAAAACTGTACTTCTGATTACATGGAGTATGAAATTAAGAGTGCATAATCCAGAAGAAACCTTCTCCTTGCAAAAGGCACGTCATCTATAACCTCTCGTTGGAAAGCGACCACACGCACAGCAAGCCTACCTCTTATTAAGGAGGTAATGCCCAGCCTATTCACAAAGATATTGTCCAGCTCCTCATTTCCTGTGAACAGTTCAGCCACTACATACAAATCGGCTCGCAACTTTCTAGCTGTGTCCAGCATGTACTGCAAAAAGCACAGCCAAAAAAGCCACAGAAAGGGGAAAGGTAGATACAAAAAAGGACAAGTTTCAAAGCTAGGCAGGGATTGGACAATAGGAAAATGCCATGCAGCAAAGACAAACAGAAAGCCAAAATTAAGGAACAAAAAAAGTTGTTACACAGAAGAGGACACACAAACAGAAGGAAAAATCAAGAATTAGCAAACAACAAAGGAGAAGTTAAAATAGAACATGAAGAAAAGGTAATTGCATAAGCAAAGAACATAAGTATGTAAGAAAAATAAAAAAGCATACCAATGTTAGTTTCACATTAAGAACTCCAAACCATACACGACAATCCTCCATAATTTTCAACTGCTTATTGTACCTCTAATCAGGCTGGTAATTCCCAGGCGGTTGACAAAAACATTGTCAATGTACTCACTGCCCGTGAAGAGTTCAGCTATCACATAAAGATTAGGTCTGACTGATCTGGCTGTTGCTAGCATCTCCTATAGATCATAACACATTTTTATTGCAAGACATCTGTTGTCAGCTCTGCATACACAAACATTAACATGAACGTTAATCAAACATAACTGAGTAGTTAATATATGCAAGTCATTAATGAACAACAGTTTAATATTCATAAAACCATGTTTGTATTTTACAGAAATTTTTTTATGAACTGAGTAATTCTAGGAAGTTCTCTGAAGACTTCAAGCTAATTACAACTTCGTTTTTAAACAAAATCTTAACTCAAAATGCAAGAACCAAGGTTGGATAAAAGAGATACATGTTAAGGTAAGAAAATCTGACAGGAACTTAAGTTTAAGCCTTCAAAGTTACTATTGCAAAAATAGTAACAATAAATGAAAGAATGGCAGAAGTTTTGAAATAGCCGTATTTAAAAGCCACTTACAACTTTTGTGTGGGCAAATCAACTTGTTTTAGAAAGCTCTTCACAGATTTAGGTAAACTCTGCAACCAAGCTAAGATTAAGCACTAACAAGCTGCACTATTCAAATCTATTTAAAGCCAATTCACCAATTTCTGGATAAAGTCAGCTCCACGGTAAACAATAAGCACTAATCTTAGCAATAAACCTGCCACACTAAACTTTCTGCAGGTGTTCTTACCAGCTTTTAAATTCTGGCAAGTAAAACACTTCCTGTGTGATTCAGCAATAGCAAAATGTATATGGCAAAGTAACACTAAGACTTTCAACCAAGTCTTGACAATGACCCCAGTTAAAACCGACATACTGGATACTGGCATTCATTGCACTAAGTCCACAGCTACACAAGGGAAAAGTTAGCCAGGTCCATGCGTATACACAGCGTTTCAGCTGAAGGGGAGAATTAACAGATACAATAGCTACACCACTCTAGTAACTTGTTTAAAGTAGCTGAAACTGTATCTAAACACCACCAGTCAAGAAGCCTTGCTAATGCAGTGAGGAAGATTCATTCACACCTGAACCCTGCCATGTAGATCCTGCAGATTTTGTAGCAACAGTGCAGGACTTATTTCACAGACAGAAGCTGCTTTAGAATGAACATGCTTAATTTTACGTACCTCAGCTACATGAATTGGAGTTGAGTGACAGTTGTCAAGACGAACACCATGGAAATGTTTGGCAGTGATTTCAGTGTATTTTTTCATATGTGCCCAGAGGTATGGGCAGTCTTCAGGTTTATTACCGTATCGCAGTTTCACACTGTCTCCCCAACAAATAAGCTCTCTTCTCAAGTAAACATTTGAACCTGTAAGAGAAACACATTCCCTATAGTGTATATAAATAGCACAGAGTGTCCACCAACAGAAAAATGTGGCATTTAAATCTCTACTGCTCAAGAATAGGAGAACAATGACGACAAGTAAAAATTCAAACAATAACCGTATCAACTCAAAATCTATATAGCCTACACTGAGGTATAATTTCAGACTACTCCAAGGGAATACTTAACTTCTATAGTGATACTGAAATAATTCTTCAGAATGAAGAATTAAAAGGAATTTGATTTCAAAGTAGTATAAAAAACTGTACTCGAGAAAAAAAAAAAGAAAAAAACAGCAAAATCAGTAGTTTGGTTGTTTATACTGGCCAAATTCAAAACAGCATCTCACTGTGTTACCATAAATAAACTGCCACAGCCACATATTAACATTTTGTAGCCTGTGAACAGCAGACTGATGATGTAAGGCAAATCTCTGAAGCACTTAGGCAGGTAGCTCACTTAAATGGACAAAGTTCCTAAATAATTTTCATGTCTATGAAAATACTTATCCTCCATCTAGTCTAGTTTCATATAGATTTTTTGCCTTCTTTATGGCATCATAATCAACAAAAGAACATTTAAATCTGAGTTCAGCTGTAATATCCTTCCTGCATGGAATACACTGATGGAAGTTTAACTGTGACAAAGACTTAAATAGTCACATCTAAAATAAGTGACTTCTGTCCTATACAAATCACACATTTGACAATGGCAATAATATTGTTTAAAAAACCTCACAACAACAAACCAAACCAACAAACAAAAAAAACCACCAAAAACTTGTACCATCTGTAACATGTAATTTTCAGGCACTATCACAGAATGGTCAATAATCAGATCCCACATAAGAGAAACACAGATATCTTTGCGCCTTCTGAAGGTCTCTTTGTATTAATCTTGCCTAAGCTTGATCAAAGCAAGAACAGGGTCAGCACCACTCAGGATGTGTAAGACAGAGACTCCATTGCTATCTGCTACTCCTAGACCAGCTCTATGGATGTATCACCACAGTTATTTAGTGGTTGAACCTTAAATTAGATCAGGAAACTTATTCAGTTGAAAAGTAATCCTGCCTTAGCAAAGAGAATATTTATCAGTAAGACTGATTTCCTAAGGCTCATATTATGGACGCTTAAGCATTTGGGCCTATGCAATGAAAGACGTGCAACAAGAGTAAGCAGCTAGTAAAGAACAAGGATCGTAAGCCACCACCACTACTTTCAAAAACATTCACTTCAGTACTGCCTACTTTTTATCTTCAATAATGGTAACATAGCTACAGGAACAGAAAAACTGGCTCTCTTTGGACATACACCATGAGTTTTTTAAGGGCCATTTACAGAACTAGCTGCATCTGTTTTGCAATTCCTGTATTTGTACCCTTATGTACCATCTTTTCACACTGTATTGTCAGTTAAAATCATGTGTGACATAAAACAAAGGTATAACGTAAGTATAAAGCACTCAAAAAGCTGTAAACTAATTAAAAACCATGAGAATGCTGAGAAAAAACTCAGTAGTGGAAGTTCTGTATGCCAAAGACAGTGACTAAAGGAAAAAAAGAACACAACAGTCTGTCCAAAACAAAGGGCAATTAGCCAAAAGGCAACTGACCAAAAACACCCTTGAAAAATGTATTCGCTTCATCCTTGCAAAGGAGAAAAAACCTGTAAATAAAAAGCAGTGCAAGGCCTGTAGATTATTTTGCAGAAATTAGGTGTTTGTTAACTCTAGATCACCCTGGAGTATCAGTTAGATTAGCTTCTAAAGCAGACTCAAACTCTTAGACAGATGTTTAATTAGAGTTAAACTGGCTTATGTTTGATACAGTTTACTAAAGGAATGACTAGTCTGAAAAGAACAGTTGTAAACACTTCTTTTACTGGATATCAGTATTGTCCCCAAAGGAGTTAGAATATAGTATTTTAGTGCACGGTGAATTCATACCCTATCTTACCTTCACAAGTAATCTGCATACTTATTTTGGATTAACTGGGTCATTTCTTGACTGCCACTCACTGGACCTTTCAGGGATCCAGTTTTTGCTTGCTAATGCTATCAAGTAAAATGCTATCCACCTTTTAATGGCATTGTTTTCTGCCACACTGTTACTGTCCCATGGAGATGCCAACAAGCAGTGGTGTTGGAACAAAATATAAAGTAAGCAACAGAGACAATGACAGAAGTGGGAAGGCAGGATGTCCCCATTTCAGGGGCAGAAAGCTGGTACTTTCCATCTCTAATCTTGCAAAACCGCAAATCCCAGCTCTTACAGTTGATCTGATGCTGAATGGAAAATAAAAGAGCTATGAACTGAGTATCTGTCTGCTACTCTGCAGCTCCATAGGAGTATCTCTGGAAAAAAGATCAAATAAAATTGTTTTTGCTTTGGCTAGAATAACAAAAGGTTTATAAGATTATTCAAAGTTCTTTTACAAACCTGGTTCTGCAAAGTTTCTAAGAGGATCATCTCCCATAACCCAGCCATTATGAGCCATGAAATAACAAGCTTTATCTGGCTGATGTATCATAGTTTCTTCTTCCTCCACAGTCAGCTCCTTGAATGGGTAAGTAAAATACCTATGGAATAAATAGGCAGTAAAAAAAACCCAATCCTGTAGGTTAAACTAAGCTGAAACTCATTGTCTTTGAAATTAAGATATCTGCTATGAACTGGCTTGTAGACAAAACAGATACAAAAAACCAACAGCTGCTAGACTATAAATGATAGGGAATTTTCTATTTTGTAACACGCCTTGAAGGAGGAGAGACAGGTGTTGCCTCTATGTTTGTATCAGCTGGCAGGGCAAGACTGAAGTTCTAGCCCTTCAGATATGAGTGGCATCAAGTACAAACTTGAAAGGTGTAAGCTTTCCTAGTTCCACCCCTCTTCCACCTACAAGAGCAATTTGCACTATGTAAGGTTTTGATGCACTCTGAGTATTGTTTCATGCTCTCTGGTCACATTTGTTTATTAAAAAGTCACCACTGTTGCTTAGAAAAGACAGTCAATCCATTAAGTGGCATTTGTCTATCAGAAAGAAAACATAACACTTGTACATGTAAAGGTATACTTTTAATGAACTTAGAACCCACTTTGCCTGGATAGATTCTAATAGTTTCCGAACAACAACAAAAAATACCTGGTAACTAAGGGATGTTTTCTACTGATAGGACCCAGCTTCGGACCATCACCAGCCAGTCGTTCATAAACCACAGTGCCCACAAGACAATTGACAGCCTAGAAGTAATTAAATTACGCACTGAAATGCCTGCATTTATTTGCAATTTAAAACAACTCAGCATTAAAACACAGTAATTGTAACACCTGCTCTTGATGGTGATTAGTTTGTCTGTGTTGTTCAGCATTCAGTTCCTCAATCCTCTTACGAAACCAGTTACAACATTCTTCTATTGCAGCTGGTCCATTGCTTTTCAGGACATTAAAAACAGAGAACAATTAAAATAATTTATTTTTAAAACATGCAGCATACATAACTAGAAGTAATAAAAAAGTCAATTTTCCCCAATTCTAAAAATAATTTATTTGATTTTGCAAGTCTAACTTCACTTGTTATTTTAACTTGTAATCACTGATACGATACCTGTGTGGTATGAACGTTGCCAATGCTATATTCATATCTACAGTACAGCCAAATCGTCTATAATCAGGGTCCTGAACTATTTGAAGATGTTGATTTGGATCAGATTTAGTGCTTATTTTGCCTAAGAACAAGATAGAAAAGAGTATTCATAAACTAAAAAGAGGAATTACATTTAAAAGACATAACTTTTATAATTGTAGCATAAGCAAGATACAGGTAGATAAAGGCAAAGGGGTGCAAAGTCTCCAGAGGCTTTACTAGCCCTCAAAACATTTTTATATGCTTAAATCTGCATGGTATGTTTCTCACACAGTAAAAAATGGGACTATTATTTCCAGCTTATTCTTAAGTTTACCTACAAGTTTCTTGAACTATAAATATACATTCCACATGCTTCAGCAACATACCCTTCCTTTACCTTGGGTTAGGAGGGTTCTAAATTGCTGCACAGCTTTGTTAACATCCACTTGGAAAAATTCCCATAGTCTAATTTTTGGATATATCTCTTCACAAATTATTTTACGAATACACTGTAAAAATAAAAATTATGTTAGTTCTTAATGTTGAATATTAATATAATTAAGAAAAGCTAAGTGCTTATATGAATTGTTACCAAAAAAAAGAGTAGAGGATTATTTAATGAAATATTTCTGCAAAGTATATACCATTGTTTGTGTATTTCCACAAACTTAGAAATACTACTACTTAATACAGCTACTTACCTTGTCTAATAGCTTATACTCAGTTCTCATTCACTTACATTCAGGTGATGGTCATTTTCAATCAAGGGAGGAACCCCTTTAGCAGTGTACTTTCCATCAGCCACCATACAGGTAAAATGCCACAGAGCTCTATCCAAGACCCAAGCTGGCTTCAGGTGAGGAGAATTTATAAGGTTATAGCCACATTCTGGATGCATCCTGAGCCATTCACTGTTGGTAGCTTATTCAAGAAAGGGAGGGGAGGGAAAAAAAAGAAAGTAAATGCATAAGCTGAACACTTAAGCTGTTTTCTGCAAACATCTTAACACCAAGAAGTTAAGGTACTTAACTTAAGGCATGTATGCTTAGGTCACATTTCAATTTAAGTTCTCCATGCCAAAAGAAAATTATGTCTTATGTAGAGGTGTGCATTACTTATAGCCACTTTTTTTTTTTTTTAAACAAATACAGTTGCAGAGACTGCAGAGCAGCTTTTTGTCAGCTATATAAAATATATTTTTTAAAAAAAACATGGTTTTGTTGCAGGAAATACATAAAGAAATGTAATGCTGAAAATTAAGAATAAAGTCAGAGAAGGTAAGGAGCCTTCACCAGTATGAGTGTGATCAGTATGAGTACATATATATCAGAGAGGATTTTGGAAGTATGACAATGATGAAAAAATCCTCGAGAGTTAATTTCTTTCCATTTTCAGAACTGTCTGAAACACAGTTTTTTGTTTCAGTTTCTGAAACAAAATAATTTTCAGACATTCTTTTGAATGAATCTTCGCAACCGAAAAAAAATAAAATTTATAAAAAACAAACCCACAAGTGCATAAGAAAAAAGAATTACTCAGGTTTTAAAAGGGTTTTTAAAAAATGATTTTTCACAGAACATGACTTATTAATACATGGTTTTAGAAAAGGAGAGAAAAATAGCAGTAATTCACACAAGAGAAAAAATATATATAACAAGTTATGATGTTGGAAATGTGAAGAGCCATCAACATGTCCAAAATGATAGCAGAACAATTAACACCTAAAACTCAAGTTAGCTTAGTTCAAAGAAGCTCAAACAACAACGTCAAAGGGAAAGTAAAGAGTGTACTCTCTCAGTCTGTAACTCGAACTGCTCTTGAGAATATCTGCTTACGTTACATCTGGAGACCATTATGAACATGGCAAATTTCCATGTTTATAAAGTCAAACCATTTGTGAAAATTAGGATCCTCATGGTTTAAATGCCATCTACAACTAAAACACCATACTTACGTTAAAGTTACATCACGCAATAATAAGCTGAGGCTGTTAAAGGTTGTTCTATGCCAACCAGATCCTCCCTCTCCCCATTTTTCTTTAATGCATACACTACTTCTGAAAAAATACTTTTCTCCAAAATGCTAAACTAGCTTATTCATCTAACAAGAAACATTTTTTACTATAAAGGACTTTAATGAGTAAAGAAAGTTAATTCTAAAAAGACAATAAATCATTTAAATCCATGGTGTTATGATGGAAAAAAAAATAAAAATCAACAGGCCTTCCACTAGTTCTGGTATCGAACAGGATGATGTTTTCTGATCAAAGGTAAACTCCAGTAATTCACAACATAACACCAAAAGAAATTTTATTCCGCATAAAAAAAGCTTGTCCAAAACGTCATTGTGATTACATTTGTTACAGCTAGAGAGAAAATACACATACATATAAAAATATGGAAATATTAAGATGAGGAATAATAGAAAACAATTTCTAAAATCCATTATGTTCTTATTTAAGAACATAGTTGCACATTTTTCTAAGGACTAATTCATTGTTACATAAATTAAACAAGCTTAATATTTAGTAGCAATGCTCACTGCCCAAGACTTTTTTTTCCTCCTCCCCTTTATAAAACTGAGAGAAGGCACTTGAGGAGTCAAGTGCTTGGAATCAGAATTTACTGAAGTGTTAAACTGCCATTAGACAATAGTAGCCTCTTTTGAAAGATAAAGGATGTATAATTTATTTCAGTTTATTTTATTACTTTATACAATTTATTGCAGCCACTGAAAGCCTGGAAAGGAAAAAAACCTCTCCTTTTTCTATCTCCTGGTAGAAAGTAAATGCCAGCAAACAGACTCTTATTCAAGGGTTTTTGAACACCCTGAAGGAAATGGCAGCCCAAAAAAGGCACACCTACCTAGTTACCAGACAGGGCTTGCAAGTTTATCTACAATACTCCAGCCAACACGCTAAAGGTGCATCTACATTTAACATTAGCACATGCATCTACTGTAAGTCAGGCCATAAATGCTGGCTTTCCTTAGTGACTAACAGAAACATTAACATCAAAAACTGATTCCCAGTGTTCTCTACTGTGTGAGCAGTCTGTCCTCCAGTCCTGTGCACAGAACAAACGCCTTCACTTAACTGCTTAATCCTGAGAGTGAGCTGTCTGACTTTACAAAAGGAACAGAGGGGAAGCATTGCCATTTTTGGCTAGAAAGCAGAAACTACCAACGCATACAGCCACTGTAAACTGAGGGGTCATGAGCTGCTAGAATTACCAGCATTAGAGGATTTACTGTGAGACTACTTAAGCTTTTAATGCAGACATCCTACAGAATTAATAATGATGTGCAAGCATCCATAGTCTGCTCAAAATAACTGACCATACATTTTGTGTCTCTTATATTCAAATGGGTCTTTAATACATGGTTTACAATTAAGTCACCCTAATGCACAGGAACTAAATACTAGAAGTTACTGTTCAATTAAAATAAATAATAAAAAAGTAAAGTAAATTAAGTTTCCATCTAAAAGAACCCCCAAAACTATTTGCCTATTTTCTTATTTCAAAAGCCCTGATAACGTTTAACCTCCACAGGCATATACGACATTATTGCTTACTTGGACATTTACCAATGTAACTTTCTGCTTATGCTAAATGTGGCATCTAACGAAGTTTGAAGTCAGCTGTAAATTAAGAGATTTTCATTATAAACAACAAAGAAAGGGAAAAAAAAGTTGAGTTTAAAAGCCTGAAAGCAAGAAACAAAGCCATCAAGTATACCTTGCTTAATGATGTGAGTCAGGACCATGGTCACTTGAATATTGCTATCCTGTTAGAAGACACTTCTAAACATCCTTTCACCACAGTATAACTGTTTAGTTATCCATCCCAATGAACATTACTTTGAACTCTGAATGTAACCTGAAAAAGTCCTTCTCCAAATGTATCCAAGTAATAATATGACATTTTTCTTCTCAAATATATTTTGGAGTTTAATAATTAGTTTAGATTTGATATTTCTGTCCATAAAATCATCCTCCTTGGTAGCATGCAAATATACACATTAAAAGATGATAGTATCTCAAAAGACATAGGAGAGACTGGACTTCCAGTTGGTAAAGTGCAACGCTGAAACTGGAAGACTGTTTAAAAGCCTAATTCCCTCAGACACATAGCCAATAACTATATTTAGCAACTTTTCGGCAAACAACAGGGCCCACACTGCACTGCAGACTGACAGGATAGGAATGTCTGGCAGCAGTCAACACTAAAGAACTAAAGCAAATAAAGCTTGAAAGTCACATATCTGTGGTTAGGGTTTTTTTAAAGCCTCAAAGGACTGTAACATCAACATACATAACCACTGGTTGTCCACTCTGCTAGAAGATGTATTGCGATCTTTAGGATTACAGCGCAAGATGAAAACTGCATTCTAAACATAAATTAAAGTAAACTCATTATCCAAATAATCAGCAAACTTACACATGATGAAGTACTATAACTCAAATTTCATCAGGTCATATTGAAGAAAACCCACTGTCCCTCTGCACAACAGACAACTTTAGCTACAAAAAGCAATTAAGAGAAGCCTTCAATCCATTGGCACATCTACGCTTAAGAAAAAAAACCAACAAACACCACACCAAACACAAAGCTCTCTTTCTTTTTTTCCTTTCCTCACAGACTGAGTTGTAACATTTCCTCCATTGCTTAATCCTAGCCTCTTGTCTCTATTCTGTTCGTTGTCTGCTTGTTAGATCCCAATTAGAGCAGTCACTTTAAAGCAGCTACAAGAACAATACACTGTTTAACAAGAAAGTACTCAGTTTATGTTCCCCAAATAATTCATAACACAGATTCCAGTAATTTATGTGGGAGCCACAGACCATAGATCATAAAAACATATTCTAAAATACTGACACATGCAGAGTTCATAAGTTCTCTCCAAGAAGGGCTCTATTCACTCTTTCAGTAACAATACTAAATTATGTTACATCTGTCATGGAGACGTACCAGTTACAATTGCAAAGAGTTGTCCTGGACTTGAGATTCAAAGACAGAGACAAATAAGTTGCTTAAAACAGCTACTGAAAAATGAGTTTAAGGTGGAAAAGTTAAGGAAAATAACAAAATATAATTATAGGACCAATCTGGTTATTAACACCCACAAAAAACATACCAGTATGATTGTAGACTACATCTGTGATGCAAAGCATATTCCATTCATTTTTCATTTTTTCCACAAGAGCTCCTATATCACTCCAAGTGCACTTTTGATTATGGCTTGAAAATTCAGGATTTACTTCTAACTGATCAGCCAGCGAATAACATGATCTAGACAGTCCAAGCTTCTGCAGTGGTGTAAAATGAATCATGTTGTAACCTATGTAATAAGAAGCCATTTATTTAATAAGAAAAACAAATTTCAATCAAAATCCACTGAAAGAAGCACAGTAAGTTACAACTGTAACATGTACTTAAAGCTACCATTTGGAATAACCACTGTCAATTACTCTGAATCTTCCTCTTGAAATTCTACACAATACGAGCTTTAAAAAAATCACCCCATCAGTTCCACAAACTTACTATCTGAAATCAAAACAGGAAAACAAAAATGGTTTCCCATGTCAGGAAATCCCTGAATTTTTGCACCTCTGCAAATATTTTAATCATTTCACCAACTTTACCTGTTAACTAGATTGATCTAGTGGAAAATATTTAGTCTACAAACTAAAGAACAAATGTCTTTACACTGAAGCTCTTCAGTGTAACTTTGGGTTACACTCCTTTAATATGTGCATTGGTATTACCTGTTTCTTTTGCAACTTTAAGCCTATCTTCCCATTCATGAAAGGGTCCCAGACACTTAGCGAGGAACGTCTGGAGCGTGACACAGTCCAACGGCAACACATGATTATCAGCTCCGACATGCAAAATAGGATCCACAACTATGTAACCTCCACCACTTTTTTCATTTCTGGAAAAAAAATTAATTTTCATTGGTAATCACTCATTGTACCAGTCAGTTTCAGAAAGAGAATCAATAAGCACAGCTATTTCAAAAACATAGTAGTCCAGTACAGTGGTTGGGCAGGACACCTGAATAAAATAAGAAACACTGAAGAGATCTTAGGCATCATCTATGTACTGGACTTAAAGTTAGTTGCTTACAGGAAAACAGTTGGGATACAGAGGCTTAACCTCTCTGCAGAAGTGAAATATGTCTGTTATTTTTGGAGACAGACCGCTGGTACCTCCTTTAAGGATATGGACAGAAACAAAGAAAGTGTAACAGTCCACTTTTTATAGTAAGACCTGCATTAGGAGCACCACCCTTGGGAAAGAGACTTGAGCTAAATGCCCTTTTAAGCCTGAGGGAATTTACCTATCTTCCAGGCACTCAGAATACCAGACTACAATCATTACAGATACTGGCACTCTCCTCTGCACTTGTCCTGTTGAAATGAAGGAGGAAGTAAAGAATATGAAATAACACATGCTAGAACCACTGTGCTGGAAAGAAAAAAAAAAAAGCAACCTCCAAAGTCAATGAAGAAAGTACAAAGTAATTATTCTGATACTTCAAATGCTCATGACTGAAAACTTGTAAATATGGTTTCCCTTTCTAACATTCATAGAAAATTAACCAACTTTGTTCTCTATAGTCTCCAGGATATCTTTGCATCAGAAAGTATTAGGGAACGACCACAGCCACTGTCTTTCATTAGCAGATTCAGATAGGCCTCATGGTTGTGATTTGAAAAATGCATGGAAAAAATGTTTTTATTCTTAACAGTGATTTCTTGAGGTTAAAATATAGACCAAGGGAGCAGATTGCATTAGGCTGCAAGTATAGAATTTCACTTACCCAAGACTGAAATAGTACTGGTAGGATCCAGAAATTTGGAGATCCAGCTTGCAGTATTTGTCAGAATCATCTTCTTTTCCTGTGGGATTGTGCCAGGAGAGTGTCCTGAACTTGTGGCGATCAAATGTTTCTCCAGAAGCTGGATAATTTGTGTACACGGTAACAGGCTTGCCTTGAAGAGTTGGGCCTAATCGGAACTGTAGTTCAAAACCTCAAGGAAAAAAAAAAAAAATCACTTTATCAGGAGGATCTTTCTATTCTGTAATTAAAAATCCCCTACTTTCTTAACATTGTTCTTTGCACATTTTAAATATAGTCCTTTTCCTTTACTTATATGGCACTATGTATCTTTCCAATTTGTTCCTCTTTGCTATATAAAGTCTTAAATATAAAATACAGCAAAACTTCATGATCATCAGACTACACACAATTTTATGTAGAGTTTGGATTCCATAGTATTTAGGTTTACCAAGTCTATTTATTAAGTTGACCCATGCAAACATCTGAAAAAATTAGGAACACATCTCAAACCAGAAAATATTTCAAATCCCTTCATTTTCCATTGAGGAACTAATGGAAATTAAATTTAGCATTCAACTAAACGACGCTCAATTCCTTATGCTTTTGATTGTAAGGTGATACATACTTGTGTGTAATCTACAATGTACAAACAAAATTTCAGAGAGCTCAACAAATCAAAGGGAGGTCTGTGTGCATGCTGCAGGTCACACGCACATAGAAAGAGCCGTATTTGGGCTTAAGATACCCACGATAACAAGAAGAAAACCAAGTTAAAATACTGGGACCTAAAATCATACTGTAGCCTGTTCAGTTGGATATAAAAAAATTCCGTTTAATCAACAGATTTGTAACAGGTTTCCACTTGCAGGTATGAGGGCCCCCAATACGTGCATGGCTAATTTCTGGGTCCTTTCAAGTGACTGAAGCAGGTGTGTGCTTGCACAATAATTTACTAAATTATGTGCCCATCATGTAGCCAACTGCAGTAACACACCTACTAGACTGAGCAGTCTACAAAACTGGGAGTAAAAGAAACCGGAGTATTTGTAAAAACAGAAAGTTATTAACAATGAATAACTTATAATTCATTATATAGTATAATTGATTTATAATGAATTACTTAACTATACTTCATAATGAATTATGAAGTATTAAAAAAAACCCTGCACAGCAGCAAGTTCCAGTATCTTCAGTTGAAAAAAAGCCACTTGCTTATTTAGTAGAATCATGGGGACTCTAATATCAGAATTCAATGTCTGAATACACTTAAATGCAAGTCTCACCAAGCTCACAGTTTCTCTTACTAACAGAATCACTGTTGCACCAAAACCACCATGTAAAGCAGTGGTTTTAGGATCTGAATGTCTGTCAGGTAAGATGAAGCTCATTTGATTACAAAAATTAAAAAGTCTTCCATGAAGAACCTCACTTTTGGAAGGTTAAGTATACTCTCTCCAGTACTGTCTTGACATTTTATTAGAGAGATTACTAAAATTAGAGTACAGGGATATAAGACTTTGATATCTTATTTCCTGTAACAGTTATACCGACATCAGGAATGCTGTGCTCAAAATTAGCTATGGCCTCTCAGTGACTGCTACCAGTGGAGGCACTTTGAATGCCTGATAGCCATGCGCCTCTGTGTGACCCCTTCCAGCAAAATTTACACAACTGGAAGGAAGAGTTAATAATGGAGGTTAGGGTAAACTCTGCAATTCTTCACTACTGACATTTTCTTAGATTACACTGTCAGAAAATTTTGAAATCAATATAGTTGAAGAGAATTCTTATTCTCAAGAATCAAAATCTTGCTCCTCTACTAAACCACTTTGATAACAGGTTCCTAGATCAATAACAAAGTAATAAATCCCACAAAACTTCATGAGTAATAAAAAATGTTGCATCATTAAAAGTGGTTTATAAAGACAGTGGCTTTACCGACTCCAACTACTGGGGTGGGTTATGGGGTTTTTTGTGGGTCTGTTTATGTTTTTGTTGTTGTTGTTGTTTTGTTGGGTTTTTTCCAAACAGACTTAAGAACACGCACTTTCAAAGAGAAATAATGTCAAGTTCTTAGAAGTACGTAGCCAGAATACCAACACAGCACAGCGACAAGAAATCTGAGAGGCAAGATAAGATTTAGGAGAAGCTAAATATCCCATATTCTCAAACATTATCTCAAATTCTGCAAATTTATTACTGACATATTTCAAAATTATAATATTAAAGATTGAGTGTTGAATTAAACAAACAAAAAAAAAAAACAAAAAACCACCAAAACCAAAAGACCACCACGGCAGGCTGAGCTCCCTTTCCATTGCTGTCCAAAGAAGGTGGCAAGCTTTCAGCCATTTCACTCTCACCCGGCCCCAGGGGCTCCCTGCCACAGCCCTCCGCCCCCG